GCCGCTCGCCACACGCGTGATGCGCGCCGCGGGCTGCGAGCCCCATGGCGTCCCGGGAGCGCGGCTACAGGCACGGCGAGACGGGCGGAGGGGGTCTGCACAAGGGGAGACGGGGAGAAGCCGTTAGCCAGGTCGAGGATTTAACGGGGAAGCAACAAAAATCCAGTCTCATGTGGCGCGTGAAACAAAATAAAGTGACTAGACTCAAAGTTAGCGGGGGAGGTATCAAAAAATAATTTTAAGCTCTTTTCTAACAGAAGTGACTGAGAAGCCAGCCTTCCTGGAGATCTGCCCCCATCCTATCCCGGTCAGGGAAATACTGCGCTCACACTGCTGTTTGCCTGCTTCCAACAGAAACGTACGGGTTTGGGCTCTAAGGGGAAGAGACATCCAACCTGGAATGAATAGCTCGGAGCAAACTAATTCACATGATCAAGGGCAGGAGTTTTCTTGACAGTTCAAAACAAGCATAATCTAGAAAACAGCTAAATCAGTATGAGATAAAGCTTTTTTTGATCTTGTAACAGAACAGATTCAGTATGAGTTTATCATAAAAAACCCAGGGAGACACACACTAGCAAAACACTCCCTGAAAAGCTAAGAGTGCTTTGATTTTTCATTTTTCCCAGCAAATATGTATATTTTAAAGATATCTCTTAAAGGAACCACATTTAAATTTAGGTTGATAGTATGTTCGGCAAGGAAAACCAGCGTTTCTTAACGGTTCACGAATGCTGACTAGAAGCTGAGACCCAAGAATTTAATAGGGAGAGACTGCAACATTTACACGCGTGTCATTCAGCAGCTCAGAGCCCATTCCCAACTCCCAAGAGCAAATTAGTCCTAGCCAGAAAGAGAAATACTTACTGCATTCTCCCTCCACATAGTTCCAGCTTTAAGATCCTCAAAGTCATTTCAGTAGATTCCCCTGCAAACAACGAAGTGGAGAATAGGTCCTTTAATCCCTGGATTTCATCCTGCAACTTGTTCCCACCGCAGCAAATGTAAGCCCGGCAGCTCGCTGTCGCTTGAAATACCCCTTGATCAAGTTTAGCAGAGCCGCC